CAGCAGTACTCAGCCTCTGTCCCACTGTCCCCAGGAGCAGAAACCTCCCACCCAATGAATGGCTGAGGGCTGGGTGCTGACATGGAGGGCAGCTCGCTGCCCCTGAGGCCCCTGCAGCTCTGCCCTGGTGTTGGGGTTGTGCTCAGAAATCTTCCTTAGTGTCCAAAAACCCCAGCGGTGAGTCCTGCACTGCTGTCCTCAATGTCACCTGCAGCCCTGCTGCAAACTGGCTGCTGCTTCCATACAGTCATTTGGAGACAGAAATTCAGTGGCAAAAGAAGAATTTAACCCGTGAAGGGAAAGCCCCTGTTCCAGGCTCAGGAAAACCAAGATGGGACCCTCTGCAGCAGAACCACGTGCTGAAGAGGAGAAAAGTCTTGGGTGGCAGATGAGGGGTAGAGGGAGTCCCATGGGAGAGGGGTTTTAGGGTTCTGACAGGTCCCCCCACTTGGAAAAGGCCCTGGGTAACCTGCACACCCTCAGGGCTTCCGTGGGGTGGAGGAAACTCTTCCCACGGTGCTGTGGGAGAGCAGGTGCCTCTGGCGGCTTTGGAGCCAGCCCCAGTCACTGCCAGTCCCCACGGGAGCCCCATGGTCAGGGCGTCACAGCTCTCCACCTCTCAGCCAAGGCTCTGACAGGGCCCAGGGGACCCTGACCCTCGTTAAGGGGGTGCTCAGGGCTGGTACATGGGGCAGGGATTTGCTGCCCATCCCACTGTGCTCAGGGAGGGCAGCCAGGGCTTCACTCGGGCGCTTGCTGTGCCAGGGCACCATGCTGCAGCTGGCAGAGCCACTCATGTTTGCTAGCCAGAGGAAGCCCCTCACCACGGGTCACATCTGGGGGCAGCCACACGATGGGATGGCAGGGAGGGGTCTCCAAGCTGCCATGGCCATGCAGGAGCCAGGAGAGCCCTCGCACCTCACCCTGGTGCCATGAGAGCAACGTCCAGCCTGTGGCACAAAGCGTGTGCCTGGTGGCAGGTGAGCGCTGGACACCTCCAGCTCCTATGGCCACAGGGCCTGGGTTACATCGGGGAGCCCCAGGAGGACATCAGACAGCAGCGTGGAGATGTGCCAGGGCCTGCTCAGGAAGCCCTGAGTGTGCTCCTGGAGAGGCAAGAGGCAGAGAAAGTGGCCAAAGCTGCGGTGACAACTGCCCCTAGCCAAATCTTCATGCCTTGTCCCAGCACAGAGCCACAGAAACGCCCCATTCAGAGAGGACTTGGGAGGGTCCCTGGGATGAGCCCCACTACCCTGACCACCACCAGTGAGGAGCAGGGCTGTGGCAGGGCTCTGGAGAGGGTCTGCTCATGCTCCGGCCTCCCACATGCACCCACAGGTCTCAACACTTGCTACTCTCGACAAGGAAAGCCCTTGCCTACGTCCATTCCCCAAATCCACCGGAAAACCGACAGCCTCACAGGGATGCAACGGACATCTGGGCAAGCTCGTCATACAATCAGTGTCACAGGGTTGTGCATGAGGTGGACACACAGAGCACAGGAGGGCATGACTCACAGATGCAGCACTGTCAAGTCTTTGGAGAAACTTGCATGAACACCATCAGTTAATTTGCTTTGTTACTTTTGTGGGGGGGTTTGATTTTTATTTCCATGGTGCATCCAAAGACAAGTTGTCCAGCAGTTTGCTCAGAACCCCTCGGTTTTCAACTCCTAGGATATGTTAAAGAAGAAAGCACTATTTTAATGTTTGTTTTTTAAAAAAATAATTAAAATAATTTGCATAGCTAAACTGTTGATCTAAGGCTTCTATGAATGGTGTGGTTATGTTTGACAGACAATGTCCATTAAACAGAGAAAGACACTAGGAAAGCCCCATAACATTTTTTATTATGTTTTTGTAACACACGCGTGCACACCCCCACACCCCCTCTCTCTCTCTCTGAGGAAGGGAGGTCCCCATCTTCCAGCACCCCTTCGACGGAGGATGTCAGGACATCCTGCCCTTTCCTACACCTAGTTGGTCCCAACAGACACCAGTGTCTGCAGCTTCCAGAGCCCAAGTGGTCCCCTGCAAGCTACCACTGCTCCGAGGCCCTGGCCACACTCCAGGGACATCCCACACAGGCGAGCACATCTCTTGCCTGATGACACCCAGATGTGACATGGAGGTTCCTGGATCTGACGTCTCCAGCCTAACGCTGTCACACACACAGCCACACACACCCATCCAGCTGCACTCGGGTAGCCCAACCTCTCCTTAGGAGCCCTGGCACCAAGGCGAGCAGCCAGCGTGTCCGCTGTCGGGGCTAGGGCCAGCCTCTGCATGCCTGTGGCAGAGCTGGGCTGGGCCCCGTGCTGCTCCCCGCGTGGGGAAAGCATGCCTCACAGCCCTTCTCCTCGCTGGGAATGAGCACAGGAAACTTCCACACGTGCTCCTCCACCTGCTCCAACATGAGAAGAGGACTCCATCCTCCCGCCAGCTGCTGCAGAGCACCTGGCACAACTCCTCCCTGCTCTGCCATGATCCCCTGATGGGGCACATCAAGCCAACACGACATGGGTCAGCTACAGCCGGCCCTGCTTCTAGGCTACACTTTGGTCAATCGGCTGCTTCTCCCCACACAGACAAGCCAACAAGCAACCACTGCATGATGGAGGCCAGCATTTTATTTTTTTAATACGGAAATTAATTTAAAAGTAGAAAGAAAGAGTCCCCCAAACAATAAATACTATGCCTTCATGAAATAAATTAATGTAGAGATTCTGTGCAGGGGGAAGTCGCTCCAATCACAGCTTCAACAGCAACTGGCACTGGGTCCAGTGTCCCCTCCCAACCTCCACTGCCTGGCGCTGTTCAGAAGCAGCAGTGTACCCACCTACCCCCAGATCTGGTGGGCCACGGTGGGGCGAGACATGGCCTTCACACAGCCTGGCAGGGCTGCAGAGCCTGGGAAGTCACCAGGATTCCCCTCTGACAGCCACCAAGATGTCTGGGCTTGCTCCACTCATCTGGCACACAGAGCTGGCATCAGAACCACGGGACCAACCTGCCTTGGACGGGACCCTCCAGAAGGGCCTGGGGGAGCCCCCCACCAGAGCCCTGCCCTCCTGGCTGTGGCAGGAACCCACCTGGAGCCCTTGCTCTAGTTTCATGTGAATTTGAAGAGGATGACAAATTGTTTGTGGGGTGTTTTGTTTCTTTTTTTGTTTCTTTTTTTTGTTTCTCTTTTACATCAATTCCCCCCTGCCCCAACATACACAACGTAGAAGCCCACCCCGCTCCCTCCCTGGTAAAAACGCTTTGTCCCCAACCTCTGCTGGAGTCGCCCCCCTGGCCCATACCTCCCAGAGTGAGAGAAGTTCACAGATAAGGCAGTTCATGTGAGAGAGAGCTGGGCCCTGCCAGCGGTCAAGCCTGGGCCTCCAGGCCTGAGAAGGGCACTGACTTGCAACACCAAGCCTCCCCCTTCCAGACAAGACAGAGAACAGAGACAGACAGACAGACAGAGCGTGGAAGGGAGGCACTCATATGGTTTGCATTGCTGCTTCCCTCCTCCCCTGGCTCTTGCTCCCCGGGTCCTTGCAGGTCCACTCTATCCCCCCTCCCATCTCCCAGCCCCTAATACAATTCAGATCCTTGACAGCTAAAAAACAACAAAACAAAATGAAAAGAACAAAACAACCCCCACGCCACACCCTTCGCATCCTTCTCCACCCGCTGCTGTGGCCCAGAGGGGAAATCCTGACTCCCAAAAAGGTCCTGCAACTTTTGCCTCCTGGCGGAGCTGAGACTGAGCAGGAGCTGGGCCCACTATTTCCCTGTGATCTCTATAACATCGTCGTCTTTGTCCTCGTCATTAGAGCTGCATCCCACCTCTGGGACCTCTTGGGGTTCAAACTGAGGCACCTGGGACCGAAGGAGGCCCCCGGCCGGATAGCCCGAGTGAGGGGACATGTAGCCAGGGTAGGCAGATGCCATGCTCCTGGGAAGGCTGCTAGGCAAGACGGGGGCTGGGAAAGGAGCAAACATCCTGGGCTCGGGCAGGAGTGACTGCGTGAAGGGAAGCGAGTAATTGGGCAGCACCCCCGTCAGAGAAGGGTTTAGCATGAATGAGGGGACGCTGGCGGTGGCTGAGGTAGCAGCAGAAGAGCTGGCGGTGCCGGCTGTCAGCAGAGGGTCAGTAGTCACAGGGAACACCAGATGAGGGTCTGGGAGTAAATTGGGCAGCTGGTAATAAGAGGAGCCAGTGCCCATGTACAAGGAGTTTCCTGGTTGGGAGGCAAATGGATGGGTTAGGTTGTGGTTTAAAGAGACAGGAGGCATGGCGAACCCACCAGAGACGGGGTACCCGTGTTCGTACGGCTGCACGGATGATGGCAACTGGCGCTTCTTCTGCTGCCTGCGGGCTTGCTCCTCTGGAGCTGATGGCGAGGTCGACTTGCGCTTGTTGCCCCGTAAGTCCAACACCGAGTGGGCATCGACGTGCTGGCTGGTGGCTGGCAGGGCTGAAGACACGGAGGGAGCCATGCAGTGAATCCCCACACGCTGCTCGGCTCCTCGGGCTGCTAAGCCGGGTGCGTTGTCCGTGCGGGCAGGGTGACTTTGTGCCGCGTTGGTGCTGGGAGAGCTGTGCCGGGACTCCCGGGCAGCTGCTGCCTCTGCGTACTGCTGCAGTTCGCTGATGATCTCGGGGCTGTCGGGGGATATGGGCCGAGTGAGCTCCTCCGCGCTGGGGAGCTGCGGTGATGAGGCACTGTGTCTGCCATTGCTTGTGGACTCCAGTGAGGAGCTCTGGGAGCCTGGAAACATGGAGATGGAGCAGGTGAGAAAGACAACCTTGGAGAAGAACCTGGGGCCAAGAGGCAACAGTGGAACACCTTCCAGTGGGGATAACATGGGGAGATTTTGGGTCAGCTCTGAACACAGGCGTGATGGAAGGTGGCCAGGGAATGCTGATCCAGACACTCAGGTAGGAAAGCCTGTGAGCAAGCCCCACACAGTGCTCGCAAGCCCCTACCTGAGGCAGCTGTCCGACGGTCTTCGTTGCCCTTTGGCTTCCCAGTGGTCCGGATAGCAAAAATCCGCCCATCGCTGGTCCGGATGTACGTCCCTGGGACAGAGGCACAACAATTTCATTCATGGTTTTCAGTCTCAACTTAGGACCCTGGATCTGTGAGCCCGTGAGGCTGCCTGGGCAGGAATGGGACAGCAGTGCTGCATAAGGCCAGCCCATAGACCATGCAGGGAGATCGGGGCGGGGGGGCTTCTGCCCCCTTTCTCCCTCCTCACTTCCACCCCCCTTCAGCTTTCCTGGGTTGGAGCTCACCCTCTCCCAATGTGCTGCCAGTGGGAAATATGGAACTTCATGCCTGGGACTAAGTTTGCTCTGGGAGCTGCGGGAAGTGTTTGGCTGTCCCAGTATGCGCAGTGGGTGTTGTGAGAATGAGACACCCAGCCATAAAGTTCAACAGCTCCTCTCAGAGGCAGGAGCAGCCACAGCTGCAATAGCCCTGAAGCATCAGCTACAACAGCACACCCAAAGCACGGGCTGCAACAGAGCCACTGCAAATTCAAGATCTCCTTCTCCTCTTGTTTTTTTCCTCTCAAGGGACTCATTCATGCTTTTACATCCTTTTCTTTGCTAATTAGCTAGGACCCTATCCACAAGTCTTACCAAGACAGACAGACTTACCTTTTGTCCCTCGGATGATGTGGATGCTCTCACCAGCACTGATTCTTGCTTGTACATCAGTGGATGTATTTGTACCCGGAATCACAATATCTGGCAGTGGGGGAAGAAACACAACAGTGTCCATAAAATTACATGTCAGTCACAGTCAGGAGTGGAGAGGTGCACCACCAAACCCCTTTGCTTGCAATGCAGTTGTCTCTCCTATGCGCAAACCCTGGGTTTATTTCTGAGCAGCACAGAAAGGCAGCAGAGGCTCCAAGGAAGCAAAAGGCATGCTGCTCTGGCACAGCATCTCCCCTGTCCCAACAAGGACAACTGCTGACAGTACTGAAGGCCCTCTCACCTGGACTTCACTCTCAACAACCCGCGAGGCCCATGCCCCTTGTACACCTGCAGGGAAAATCCTCCAAGTACAGGGGAACCACCCAAATGCAGAGGCAGTATCAGTGGCTGTGATGCCTGTCTGCCCATAGCCCATGAGGGCATCAACAACTCACCCTGATCCTCAATTCTCCACAAGCATCACAACTCAACTTACTGGGAGCATCAGTCACTCACCTGTGGTGGTGACAATCTTCTGCACAAAGACACCAGCTCGCTGTAGATAGTTGATGGGGAAGTTGACAGCAGGGTTGGAACTTGAGGTTGATCCAGCACCACCCATGGGGACATGCCGGGGCATCATAGGTATGGGGGTGGATTGAACTGGGCGGACACTTGCCACCGGCTTGTCCTCACCCTTGAGGGCTGGTCGCCTAGTGAGAGAGGAAGAAAAGTGCAGTGACCCCACCGACAGGGCTAAGCATCCTCTGCCCCCTCATTTCATGTCTACAGCACAGGAAGAAGGGGAAGAGTCGGGTACTCACCAGTTCCTCTGGCTAAAGGCAGGGATGCTCGTCAGACTCTGGTCACTGGCTGGGTAATACTGTGCGTAGGACGGCCGGGTGTAGGGGACGGATGCTCGCTTTTCCTCCTCATAGCTCTTCTTGGCTGCTTTCTTCTCTGCCTTGGTCAGCTTGTGCTCCTTCCGGTCGATCAGCAGTGACTCATGCTGAAAAGGCTCCTGCAACCCCACAGCACTGAGGTTTTGACATCAGCACACCACAAGAGGGAACCAGCATGCCCCAAATGGAGCCACCTGGTCCCTGCATCAACGCTGTCTCCATCCCAGGCTGGAGCAGGGAAGAGGGGAGTTGGGAGGCAGAAGTGGTGATGGCATGCGTGGGGCATGCATGAGGCAACGCTATGGATGTGACCAAGGCTCAGCTTGAAGAGTGACAGTCAGCTAAGCCATCACTCACCGTCGCTAAGCCTGCCCAGCCAAGGTCATCGCTTACCACGAGCACAGAGCAAAACCCATGAGCCACAGGCCAGGCTAAAAGCCCAAACACAGAGCCTGCTGAGTCATCACACAGCCACCAGAGCCCCACGGCACCTGGCCACAGGCCCACTCTGCACCGAAACTCCACAACACAGGCAAGTGCTGGCTGTCTCTGCTTTGTTTTAAAGCCATCCTAAGACAGGAGCTAGCAGCAAGCTGGGATATGTCACTGCCACCTTCCCACCCAGCACCAAGTTGAAGAAAGGGGTGTCCGACAACCTGCCCTCAAATCTGTCCAGGACAGATGTGGCTCTAAATGTGTATAAGATATTGCAGGGAAGGGCAGGGCTCTTAGAACCCTCTCTAGAGGATTTTTTACCTATTCCTATCAGTGCACAGATGTGTCCTTCTTGCCACCACATCCCCATCACAAAGCCAGACTCCTCCAGACCTCCTGCCTGTGCAGTGCTGTACCAAGCAATGAAGCAGGTTGGTCTTACCTTGGTGATGAGGTGAGGATACTTGAGACAGGCTAATTGTAGAACAGACTCCTTCATCTTGCTCGGATTGAGGGAGAGCTGAGCAGGGTCGGATTCCTCTTCCACAAAATGAAGCAGGTTCTCCACCTCCCGGCGGGTGAAATTCAGCACTGGGTTCAGATCATCCACCACCCGATCTGGAAAAGACAGGGAATGGAGTGAGCAGAGAAGGGAATAAATAGGTACTGCCGCCTGCTGCCCTTCCTACACTCCTGTCCCAACAGAGCTCCCTCACTGAAATCTGCACAGCCCTAAGAAGCCTTCTGCAAATGTCAGGGCAGGGAAAAAAAATAATCAGCCGTGTTCAGGGATGAGCCTGTTTGACCAAGTCAGGCTGACAAATGCTTGTGCTCCAGACAGCACAGCAATGCAGTGCAGGTCACTGAGCTCCTGGCATGCAGGAACATGAAGCTAGTTAGGGATGGTGTCCCGTCTCACATCGCAAGGCTGAAAACATGCAAGACCTGGAACAGAACTGCAGCCACATCAGCATGTGCCCTCTCGCAAATCCCACCAAAAAGGCTCAAGTTAATAACCAGGTGCTGAAATTTACAGAACTTTGTTGAGTCAAAAGCTCAGAAAAGCAGTCACAGTCCCTCCCTCACAAGAGCCTGAAAGTTTTCCTTGGATGTTCCTTCCTGCACACAGGGCAAATGGGAGCACATGGAGAAAACATCTATATTGAGGCCCCTCCTGGGTGCCAAGCCAGCTGGCAGGGGACTCCACCTAGAGTGCAAGACAGCATGCTGAGCCGATCACGCCAGGCTGCTGCCTCTGGAGTTGGGTTTGGAGACAAAGAAGGATAGAGGCAGCAGAACTCTTTTTGGGTCACCACAACCCTCAGCTGCATTCCCTAGGAGAGCAGCTCGACAGTTGGCGCAAGCCAGCACAGAAGATACTTTTGGTACAAGGGCAGGTCAGAACTGAAATGAATGAATTGTTCTTGGCTCCTAAGTAAGCACTATCAGTGAAAGGTATCAATATATATCTTAATGTCACTGTCTTCTCTCTCGCTGCTGGAGGAATGGAAGTACAGAGCTATTTAATAAGTAATGCTCAGTTTAAGACAAGTAATCCCCCAGGCACAGGGGAAAACAGGATGACCACCTCTCAAGTCTCCAGTCTCTTGCAGCAGCCAGGAGAGTAGCAGGGAAGGTAAATGGCACTGCACTGGGCTGGCAGCACAACCCTGCTGCAGGATGCTGTCTCTACAACCCTTACAGCTTTGCCAGGAATTTCTTATAGGATCTCACATCACTGTCCATTCATAAACATCAAACACAGCCCCAGGATAGTGTCTGTCACTTCTTAGGCTGTCTGGTTTTCAACCTTATAAAAAAGAAGTTAAAAAACCCACAGCAACAAGACTTAAAGGAGCTAAAAGGAATGAAAGCCAAGAGTGGAGTGCCATGTCCATCCATGCTTACCTGACATGCCCTGCTTGGAGATCTGACGGTCATAGATCTTCTTTTCAAGGGTGTAATCAGAAACCAGTCTGTAAATGTGGCATGGCTTCTTCTGCCCATAGCGGTACACTCGGCACACGGCCTGGGCATCATGGCATGGGTTCCAAGAAGCATCAAACACCACCACTCTGTTTGCTCCAATGAGGTTGACACCCAAACACCCAGCACTGAAAATAGAAGGCAAATTTCAAATTGCTGCCTTGGCCAATTTTCAAAGCTTCTAGACAGGGACAGCCATCACAGCCAAGAGTCTATGAGGTGTCTATGGAAAGTTCCCTCCAGTCATAAAGGCAACTTCAAACCCGTGTTTGGTTTTGAAGACTTGTTGTTAGAGAGGACTAAGGCTAAAATCCTACACCCCTAGGGAATTCAGAAGCAGATGGCACTATTATTCCATAGAGTCTTGAGACCATGTTAGAAAGGAAGTTAAGAACTGAAAACCCATACACATACAGAGCATCAGTGTGAGTCCTCCACTGTGCCTTTCTGCTCCAGCCAGCTTACCGTGTGGACAAAAGGAAGAGCCAAACAGAGGTATTGCTGGGGTCATTGAACTGGTTAATCAGTCGTTCCCTTTCTGAGGCAGAGGTGCTGCCATCCAGTCCTGAGAAGGAAATTAAGGACACATTTAAAAGCTCGGTATATTTGGGGGAATTCCATCAGAACAAAACCACTTCCCAAACACTGAGCTTTGGCACTGGTTCCCAATCAATTCTAGGTCTTCCTCAACTCATGCACTCCAGGACCCCGGTTGGATCACTCTGTATCTAATTTGCCCAGCCAGGTTGGGATATTTTCAGCTAAAAGATCAAGCAAAACATTACTCAAGCTTGGCAAGGCCAAGACTGGAAGTGCTATAGCACACCTAGCCCATTAAGGCTCCACATTAGGCAAGACAGACAGCAAGCCAGAGCAGCAGGGATTAAGGTCTCACATATGCTGGAAGCTCACGGAACCAAGAGAAAGAATAATTGTGAAAGTCATAGACTGGATCTAAGCACAGAGAATACTGGTCTAAAGGAGTGCAGGAGGGTGTCACATCTCTGTTCTTGTGCAGCAGCTTGCTTCTGGCAGCTCTGCAAAAATCAGGAACACCATATCTACTGCTCCTCTCAGTTCTGGCCTGTAAAGTAGCCACACAAAGCAACAATCCATGCCAGAACAAGACTTAAAGTGTGGAAGAAGGGAGGAGGAATTCACAGCCCCAAGCTAGTGAAAGTGTTCAACAGTGATTCTGGTTTGGGAAGCAAGGTCTAGAAAACAGCCAACAGGAAGCAAAAAGTATCTTTTACAACTTAAGAAAGCACTACTCTGTGAGACATTAAAGATATCTAACATCTTCTGAGTAAGTTGTCAAAAAGAGGATTTAGAAATATCAGCTAGTTGCTATCAAACTGACACTGTCTTCCCAAGCAACTAAAATAAGAACAATCTGAAAGAGACCTCTTCAGAAGAGTGCTTCGGAAGAGCATTTTCACACCCAGGGACAACTACAAGAAGATGGCGGGTCACTTTCAGGAATTAGTCCATCTCAGAGGATCAAACAGTGTCACACCAAAAGAGAGGAAGATTGGCTGCACTCACTGTAATAGTTGATATTTCGGACCCAGTTGTGAACTCCTCCATCTGAGCCTGCAGGACTCGGCATTGCTCTCTCTGCCAAAAACTCTTCAATGACGGATAACGTGGACAAGCTCTGGCTGCAAAACCAAGATTTCTGTTCAGGAGAAATCCCCCACAGCAGCAAAAGTGGACATGACAGAACTTAAGGTTGTCAAACCCTGCTTGTGGCAGCACACCTCTCACTAGTAAACTTCATAGTGGCAGAGGTATAAAATCCATGGAGGAAAACCAGGATCTAATACAACAAAGTTGAAAAGAGGAACTGCCACACCACTCACCCTGTGTAACAACCTCCTAGTACCAGGAGGGGTTCAACTGCTCCAACATTTAGTGACTGTAGGATCAGCTGTTAATACTTTGCTTACCTGAAGACCAAGATCTTGTCTCCAAGCTTCACACTTTCCTCAATTAGGTGGAAGAGTAACACCATCTTGGGTGAGTTCTCCAAGACTCCCGTCTGGTAATTACACAAGATGTCTTTGGCCTACCGAGAAACGGGAGACTATTACAGGTGGAGTTGCTCATTCCCTGTTTAGTTCAACAATCCTGTCTCAAGGTGAGAGAAATAAGTCAATGCAGAGAGGTTATATACATCCAGCCAGGTTGAGGTGACAACATTACTCCCAACTACTGCTGCTACCTCCCATTCCAGAAGCTCCAAATGACAAGCTTCTTGTAGTAAGGATGAACGAGCATTCTCTTAACCTCTCATGACTCTCTACTTTATCTCAAGACCTTTCCTCTAGCCCACTAGATTTACTACCACCTTATCTAGATTAAACTTACACTCTAACACCTTTTTCAGAAAAACAAAGTCCATAGCCTTTTTGGTCAGATGAAAACAATGGTATAAAAGAGTGCTGCCTGCACTCCTGCTTCATCAGAGTCCCAAAACCCCTACCTGCACCATGCAGACATGCTTATCAAGATACTCTATGGTAGAGAAAATGTAACAGAAATCTCCAACTCTTACACAGTAAAGTCTTTCCCATCTACTTCAGAAAACTGTCTTAAGAAAAAGAGGTACAGTCTTTCAGAGTAAGTATCTAGCCTATGCTTATCATAACCCTCCAGATGAAGAGTTTTCCTGCAGTGGTACTCACCCACTCGTAAGTAACGACCTGATTTGCTCTCTCCTGAAAAGGGTTGAAACCAACGCTCTGAAGGAACTTGCTATTGGTAGCTTCTCCAACTGGCGATGCCAATGCATTACTTTCTGTTTTGACTTTAACTCCCTGAGGCTGGCAACGGGAATTAGTACTTGCTGTGCCAAGGTCATCCACATCCAAATCCTGCTCATTTGCCAGATTCTCCTTTTGCAGAGCTTCATACAGCACATCTGGATGGTTCCAGATCTGAAGGGGTAAGAAAAGAAAGTGGTTAGGCCTGAGCTGCCTACTGCTAGTCAGTGACTGTGGATTGAAAACTCCCACAGCTATTCAAAGGAAAGAACTAATACTTCGATCATCTCCTCACCATCCCCACATGGAACTATAAGGCACTGCAGGAAAAACCAGTCTGACTGCATGAAGGCAGTGAAAACAGAAAACATGACTCTACCATAACACAGGGTATACACCATCTTAACCAAGGCTCTTCTGGCTTTAAAACTGCCAAATTATTTAATTGAGAACAAAACAGAAGGCCATTGTGCACCCACACAGCACAAATGCAGAGGAAGCTGCTTGTTAAATGGTTAAGGTATCAGCCTAGTACTGGTTCAGCTGAAGGCAGCAGGTTTCTTGCAAAAATCTGAAAAAGACATTTAACATCCCTGCATCCCAGTTCTGGACATAGGGATAACAATTCTGCTGGTCCATTGCAGAGCACTCTGAAGATAGATGTGCCTGGCCAACCATGATTTTATCTCCTGTTTTGACTTATATTCCTGCCCTTCCCTTACATACTAGAGTATTTCTTTACATCTCCTGACAAAACCTACCTTGCAACAGACACAGAAAGCTTTGAGTGGGTTCAGTCCCAGCCAGCCACTGTTGCCTGCATCTCGGAACCGGTTCATGAACTCCGTATAAAGGGCCCGCTGGATCTTTGATAGACGTACCAAAATGACATGTTCTTCCTTAGATGGGAGCTGAACCTTCAGCACATTGTGGCCTCGTCTGTGGAGAAAATAAAGAAAGAGAGATAAATAGAGGGAAGGGAATTTCCCAGTCTGATCTCTCTGTGGCTGCCTGTAGGGTAAGATTTTGACTTCTTGCCCACCCAGTTGCAGGGAGAAAGACCTTTAGTTGTATGCTTCTCTACTGCATGACACTTCTGAGATACTCTCCCTGAAGCCAAATACCAACTGTAAGCACAATTACAGAGACCTCAAATGTTACAACCTTCTAGCATAGGTCACAGAGTTAAGAGGGTGATCAAAGTCCTGTTTTCCATAGCAGATGAAAAACAGAAATAAGACTTAAGATCTTTTTTTAGCTCTGCCAACGACTAAGACAGTCCATCCAAATCACTGGTCCAGCAGCTTAGAACCTTTATCTGAGAAACAAAGCTGATGTGTTTCCAGAGTGGTGGAGACACTGTCACTTTTCATAAGTGAGGACTGATGAAAGACTTTCAGACCCGCAGGTAGAGGATGTCAAAAAGTACACATCCAAATTAACTATTAAGACTTCAAAATAAATCTGAGGTCACTCTGGTGCAGTTAGAGGTGTTGTTTTCCATTATCAGAGCTTGTGGTACCAAACCAAACCAACTTTACTTCTATCCTCAAGGCAAAACAGCAGTAAGGACCACTTTGCAGTTGACAGATTAACCATCTGAGATTCTGAGAGAAATATGGAGCTGGTAACCTATGAATCTCCTCTGTGGTCTTCTCTGTATGCTTAAGATCCTCCCACAAAGAGAAATTAAAGCGCCTGTTTAAAACTCAAGCCTAAGAAGCTGCATTGATGGGCTGAGGACAATTGTATAAGATTCAACAAGGCTAAGTGTTGGGTCCTGCACTTGGGTCACAACCACCCCACCAACACTAAAGGCTTGGGGAAGAGTGGCTGGAAAGTTGCCCAGCAGAAAAGGACCTGGAGGTGTTGGTCAGCAGCTGGCTGAATATGAGCCAGCAGTGTGCACAGATGGCCAAGAAAGCCAATAGCATCCTGTCTTGTATCAGAAATAGTGTGGCCAGTAGGACTAGGGAAGGGATCGTCCCCCCGTACTCAGCACTGGTGATGCTGCACCTCAGATACTGCATTCAGTTTTGGGCCTCTCACTTACAACACAGACACTGAGGTGCTGAAGCATATCCAGAGAAGGACAATGAAGCTGGTGAAGGGTCTAGAGCAGAAGTCCTGCAAGCAGCGGCGGAGGGAACTGGCACTGTTTAGTCTGCAGAAAAGGAAGCTGAGGGGAGACCTCACCACTCTCAACTACCTGAAAGAAAGTTGTAGTGAAGCTGGTGTTGGTCTCTCTTCACGGATAACAAGGGATAGGACAAGAGGAAATGGCCTCAGGTGGCACCAGGGGAGGTTTAGATTGGATATTAGGAACAATTTCTTCACTGAAAGGGTTGTCAAACATTGGAACAGGCTACCAGGAAAGTGTTGAGTCCCCACCCCTGCAGGTATTTAAAAGATGTGTAGTTGTGGCACGTGCTTTAGTGATGGGCTTGGCAGCATTAGGTTAATGGTTGGACTCAACAATCTTAAGGGTCTTTTCCAACATAAATGATTTTACAATTCTATAAGGCAGCATGATTAGCTGTACTGCATAAACTCAGCAAATAAGCAGACTAATCTGGGATGAAGGAGCTGTTTGCATGGACTACACCGTTAAGAACTCATTGTGGACTCACCGCTGCACAAAGCCTTCCAGCAGGCTATGCAGGACATGACTGCGATACCTCATGAGACGGACATCTTGAGGGGTGCTGTCAATACACTGCCCGTTCAGGATGGGGCGCTCAAACATGTTGCTGAATTCCTGCCGTGAGCCTAGAAAGTCAGGTCGGACAAAGTCTACCATGCACCAATACTCAATGAGGTTGTTCTGGAGCGGGTAGCCAGTCAGCACTACTCGCCGGCGGGAGCGGATGTTCTTCAGGGCCTGTGAAGTGCTGGCATGGCAGTTCTTTATCCTGTGCCCCTCATCACAAATAACCACATCTGGGCCAGGCCGAGACAAAGCCTTCTCAATCCCTGAGGACAAGAAATGTTAAGTGTCAGTTAGAGATGAGTAAGACAAAGTTCTAGTTTTATAGGGTCACAAACTTCCCGAAAACATGGATAGTTCTGAAAGACAAAAAACCTCTCAGTATTCATGGGTAGCAAAGAGCAAGGCTGATTCAGGAAATAAAATGTGACTAGACACTACCTCCAATTTAGCATAATGTGGTAATGACCAGACATGACTGTCCACTGATTTCTGCTCAATGACCTGCATTGCATCAAGTTGGGTGTCTTGCATCACATCAGACTGGCAAATCTCACCCAGACAAATCCCCGAGTTCATTGTACTGCCTTCCATGCTTACTTGCAGCTACTACAAGAAATTAAAGAATCAACCAAAGCTCCACAACCTTCTGCCTCCAAAGACACGATCCTGCCTAGCAAAGTTTGATCATGGCAGGGATGCTAAAAGCAAGTTATAGGTTGTTTCCCTGTGCTGCCAGAGTTGATATCCAGCTAGACAACTGGATCACACTCTCTCTCTTAAGGACTGGCCTCCCACCTTTCAGCAGCTCTTGCTGCCTGTCTTCCTCATCCAAGTCAATAATGACAGGGACAGCTTGTTTCTTTGTTTTCTTCTTCCTGCCAGTGGCAAAGGACTTCTTCAGTGAGAGGAGACGGTACATCTCATATCCCATCAGCAGCACACCACCTTCTATCACCCAGTCATTCACCACCTTTGCACGTGCAGCTGTTGTCCTGCAAAGCAAGCAAACAAATAAACAAACCAACCAAATAAACTGTAAGCTTTCTCTCCAGTTTCAGTTTGAACCATTGGATTGGAGTCTGATTAGAAAAAAGACCCATTCAATTAATTGAAGTACTTTCTCACATCAAACCAAACAGAGGAATACAATGAAGTTTCTTTAGGAGACAACATGGTACAGAAGAAAAGAAAAAAAAACCTTTTATGTGCTACAGGTAACAGGGTTACGATTGAGAAATCCTTACAGGAACTGAGCTATAGAAGTTTGTCATGTACAAAAGCATATCAAACTTGAGAATATCCTTTTTAAAGAGCTGTTGAGGAGACTGCCTCTGCAAAAACCATTTTCAGAACAAGCTGCTAATGTGCGTGGTTGTAATCGTCTAGTCGTTTATCCCTTGTTGTTGTCTCTTCCAATGCTACCATCTCTCAATTATTCCTTCCCTGCTAGCCTGCTCAGAACTGGTTCAGATCGAGACACTGTCCTCACTCAATCCTCCCAGAGGACATCAGATCCCATCCAATAGTAAACACATGGCTGGAGTAGCATCAGTAGATTCACAGTACTTTCCAGCCAGAAGATGAAGACCTCAACAGATGAACATAGCTGATGAACTGAGAGCTCCCTAGAATCACTACACTGTCCTGACCCATGCAAGAAAAATGAGCCAGAAAGAAGCAGAGATCCACAAGCCAGGAATACACTCTACACCAGGCTGTAACTGCAATCACTGATCTCTCCTTTCTGGACAAGGAGGCTTTGTATAACTTGCCAGAATCCCTCAAGGACAACACAATTCACAGAAAGTCACAGTGTCAGGTAGAGGAATCCTTAAGTGTGTGAAAAATCTCGGGGAAAAAAACCCCAACTCATATTTAAAATACAAGCAACATGTTTTAGAGGAGGCACATGTCTTGGGAATCCCAGGACTCTGACAGGACTAGCAGCGTACCACGAGAAACAAACCACAGCACTTCTGCTCCTCTCTGCAGAAGTAGCTGTCTCTGCAACTGGGTTCCTGATCTCAGCATACACGGAAGAACAGAAAGGCACATTAGCAGTGTGAGAAGGAAGTAAAAGATCCTAATATTGAATGAAAGAGACAATAAATCTCTCACAGACATCAAAATCCTCCCCTCAAGATGGCATCCACAACAAACGCGCAGTTGGAAAGATCTGGGAGTTGAGGGCACAGAATTAGCCCAGACTAAACAGTCTGCAACAGCAATTCTCATGACAGTTCTGTAAGATGCAGTCCAAGAGCTCAGAAGGGATTCTAATAGCACCTACTTGTGTTCATCATTCAGGATGTGGACTTTGAAGGTGCGAGGCTGAACCTCTTTGGAGTCATAATCAGCAGGAAGGTTTTCAGGTGCTGGGAGCCACATGTTGAATTCTGCTAGCCAGTTTTGGAGTGTATTCACCTGAAACAGTTAGCCATGGAAGGATTAAAACCCCCATGTAAGTCACTCTGATTTTAAGAAAAAAAAATGAGAATAGGGAATGACACCCAGCCATGCCCAGACAGAAGGAGCAGACTACAGCATGCAAACTCAGGGACACAGGGAATGAAAGAGAGAGAAGAACAGCAAGGGTTTGATAAAGCTTCATGTGAGACAGGACACTAATCAATCTTCTCTACACAAAGAAAGTAGTGGTGCAAGGAAGCCCCTCAGCCAGACCCTCACGTGGCTACTTACAGGTACAATGGCAAGAACAGTCTTTGCTTCCGTGTGGCGGAAAAGTACATCCAAGAAAGAGATGACCTGTATGGTCTTGCCCAGGCCCATGCTATGTGCTAAAATACACCCAAACCCACTGCTGGTTTTAAATCTCTCCAAGGACTCGACCAAGTTGTCATACAGGAATCGGATTCCACCAATCTAGACAGAAAAGCAGAAAAAGTGGTGGGAGAACAAAACCAAGATGGGTATGAACTTACAGAGCAGTAAGCACATTAGAATTGCATAACTGTGAAAATAAAGGGGGGGTTTCAAGTTTACTACAGTAATCGAGGGAAGGCTCAGAACATCAGTGTTTTTAGATACTTATAAAACTTCCTGAAAATATACTAATAAATCAAAATTCATTTGAAGACAGAGAATCTGAATTATGGTTGATTAGTTTGTTTATAAATATAATTTTATTTTTAAAACGTTCATCTAAATATGCAAAAGCCTGATGATAACAACAGCCAAAATTATACATAGCCCTGGCCTTCCTTTAAGTTGTCCTTATCATTTGACTGTCCACGACAGCCACCACCACAACCAGACTGGTCACAGAGCTCACCAAAGAACTTCTGCTGAGACTACAAGACCAATTTGCCCGAATTCATTGCATTTTCAAGGTTAACAGAGCCTACCTGATGAGGTTTTACTGCATGTGCAAGCTGGGGAGCCAGGAAAATGTCCTCCTCATTTGGTGGATGATTGATGTTGACAATGACTTGCCCCAGAGCATCTGACTGATTTAAGGCATCATTCACATGAGAGCCACTGCTCTCTTCACTGCCATCCTCCTCCGCTTCATTGCCAGAGTCACTACTGTCCACAATTTGGAGGGCATCATCCTCTCCTGAACTCAGCTCAATCACTTCTATAAAGTATCCAAAACAAGAGAGAATAAGGGCAAAGGTTAACGACATCAGAGTTTATCATGCATGGAAAAAAATCATATCAAGAAAATAAGGCTACTCCCCTTTTGCAATTCTACAATGGCCTAATGGCCTATTCTGATCAAGCAAGCACAACAGAGGCACACAACAGGCCCCTCAGACCAGTATATAAAAGCATGATTTTTCCTGAGTTTCCCTGTGTTTCAGAGAACATTAATTTGGGCTGATTCAAACAGAACATGAGACAGTTTCTGTAAGCATTTTATGTTCTCCTCCGTATGTCCTCTTAATTCCCAAACCCAGACATGTATTTTATCTGTTCATACAGTGTCTAAGGACCACCAAGGAAATCAGCTGGAAGTACTCTACCAGTTTTGGTATAAAGGAGTCAGGTTAGATCCATTTGGGTCAAGGGACACAAAACCCACTTTCAGTTGCAGATCTGAATATTTAGATGCTCCTTTTATACACAGCAGATCATGTAAGCATTCTTCATCAGAGCACTTAGCAAAATTAAGTGCATTTATAAAGTAGAAATAATCACAAGTTTGCAAGAGTGCTTGATTGGCCATTTTATGTATGTTAGTTTAGGACTCAAAGGCCAGAACTGTAGACCAATAGGTCTACAAAAATCTGAAGTGATTCACTATTGGAACATCTGACTAGATGGGAACAGGAGACTTGGGGCTAAATAAACAGCAAATTGTGAGAAGACCAGGCTGAGGCAATTAGTCACTTACCATCTTTAATGCTATTTTTTCCTTTAGCATCATCTTCACTGCCACTGCTGGTACTATCTAGGCAGATCACTTCCTCAGCCAGGACCTGAGGGGGGAGCTGGGTAGCCTCTGCTGTTCTGAAAACGATGTCCTCTACAAACATAAATTACAAACAATAAGTAATTCATAATAATGGGGAAGGAGACAAAACTGTTCAAAAACCAGACAGTATTTCCTTCCACTTTTGCTCCAATAACTTAGTCCTGGAATTTTCCATAACAGACTCTCACTGTCTACAATACTGCTATGACTCAGCTTCCTGGGTCACAATCTCCTCCTTTCTCAATATGCTGAAACAATAGCCCATTGCTGATGGCACCCTCTCTATTGCATGCCCTGGCTGGGGCACACTGACCACGCAACATGCTAAAGTCTCTTTTTTTTTTTTTTTGCTCTCAGAAGTAAAAGCTGTTTTTCATCCAGCAGAGAAAGTACCAACTGCTGAAGGGATGATAACTGTTAGTAGGGACACTGTAATAATTATATCCCACATACCATAAACAACGTTTGCTGATCAAGACCATTTGTTTGTATGTTTAAGCATTGCCATGTGGGGAGAAAGGCTAGCTAACAGGGCCAAATAAGCACCGCTGCAGTGACTCAGCCAGCAACGGCGTTCTTCTGGGGCTACAACCTGCTCTGCAACAGCTAGAGTGCTTTAAATAGCTCTTACTCCTTCCCCCTTCCACCCCCCCCATCCACCCCCCCCATGTAAAAATGTTTTGAACACTTGCACTTAAGGGAGAATATACATTTTCTCAAGAGGCAAAGTCAACTCAAGAACTCCTTACTCCCAACACCTTCCAACTGCACTCCTCTGCCCTTTACACCAGTCTGAGAGGCTGTGCTATAAATTAGATCAGTGAAATGATCTGGGTTAGAAGACAATGAGAGATGACATATTGATCAAAAGACAAGAGTGATGCTGAACCATTTATACTGCCTACTATTTCACTGCTTGCTAAAACATGCAAGAAAGGACAAGGTTACATCATGAACATATGTACACCCAGTCTATTGCTCCACTACCCCTAGAACCAGGCCCATGCATTACCAATGAGACCATTCACAGTACAAATATGATCTGAACCAAGGACATGGCATTTCTGTCAAGTACATTGCTTTAAGCTTCCATACTGTTGAAAAGACAAGAGAGACCTGTTCCAGCATCCTGCTTACACACAATCAACTTGTCAAAATATCTTAACAAAAGTTACCTGATACCTTTTACCATACAGCCACAGCATCTTGATTCAGAACTAGCTCAGAAGTGGGACTACATTGAACCAAAAGGGGTTTGGAACTGTTGTTTCAAGAGTTTACACTTGGAAGTCCAAGTGCAGCACAGAATCACAGAATGGTTTGGGTTGGAAGGGACCTTTAAAGCTTATCTAGTCCAACCCCTCTGCAATACGTAGGGACATCTTCAACTAGATCAGGTTGCCCAAAGCCTCGTCCAACCTGACCTTGAACGTTTCCAGGGATGGGACATCTACCACCTCTCTGGGCAGCCTGTGTCAGTGTTTCACCACCCTCAGCATAAAAAATTTCTTCCTTATATCTAGTCTGAATCTACCTTCTTTTAGTTTAAAACCATTACCCCTTGTCCTATCATGGACAAGCATAGCATTACCTTCTTCTTCTTTCAGCTTCTATCCTTAAAAAAAACATTGCTTCAGGTGGCATCTCTCACTGCTTACCAGGAAGAAACTCTAGGGGTACGGTTGGTATAGTGGCTGGATAATCCTTCCGCTGCTGCTCTAGCCGTTTCCTTCTCTCCAACTCTTCCTGCTGGGCTGCTTTTGTCACGGCTTCCAGTTGGTCTTCACGCAACAGCTTTCTGAACACAGGAGCAAAGAGAGAAACATGATTTGGTTACATTCTGAACAATTTTTTCCAAAAATTTGAATGGCTGTACAGCTGGCTCAAAAGATGATTGACAAGCTCCAGGTAGCTTGTCAGATACACAGGGTAGAAACATCATCATCAAAAGCTACAAATTTTACAGCTATTTCAAGACTCTGCTTTCCAGCTACAGGTAACACAACTATTGGTCAAGGAAAGGAAAATAATGAAAGGAGGAAAATAATGAAAAATGAAAGGAGGAAAATAATGAAAGGAGGAAAATAATGAAAGGAGGAAAATAATGAAAGGAGGAAAATAATGAAAGGAGGAAAAATGTGAGTGGGTAAGTATATACTTAAACTAGGTTATCACAGACTAGTTCTTCTGTCTGAAAACATGTTATTTATTGCTACGCAGTTTATAAACAGAAAATGCACAAAGTCGTACAAAGAAGATATATGGGAAGAAAAGGCATCAATTCTTCCCCCACGGAAAGTCATCTCCCTGATTCTCCTCTGTCATAGTATTTTCAGGAACTAGGATCTCTAATGGCTTTAACAATTGTTTCAAATGATGCTCTCAAAGCACTTTACTTTTACAAGTAATTTTCTTTACTTCCAAAAGTTGCTTTCCCCCCACTTCAGTTTCACATGTGCAGCCGTGGAAACAAAGGCTCTTTTGCCAGAGGAAAGGTACAGTACAAGCAGTGGTAAAATCCAGCTCCCTCAATCTGGCCTTTAAACCTACCCATCTTCTCCATCCTACTGAAGTCTCAGTTTCCAAGGCCTACTCAATGGCCATTCCTTCAGCAATAAGAAAATCAATCTGCACAAGCTTAAATATGAACCAAAGACCACCAGCATGTTACATACAGGGCAAAAGAGACACTTCCTGCCACAGGAGTTCCTGCTCCATTATGACTCCTCAGAGAATTTTAGATCCCCTAGAACAAAATTTCATAGCTAATTACCACCTCACAACTTGTCCCAGAATATATGTGGTGACTTACACAATTACTGCTTTATAAAATCCAGGCGAAACTGATTTCCAACATTTCAGTCACCAGTTACAGCATCAGCATTCCTGCCAACAAGTACCCAGGATAGTAGAGGGAAGAAATGTATTTTACTCTGTTTGCAATAGGATGCCCATCAGCAGATATCTGAAACTGGATGTTTACTTAATGATGGTACTATTTTTCAATTACATGTCTTAAAGGCCAGCAGCAAATACACAATTTTTGCAGTATATTCCATAACCAAATATTCGCTCTTCTGAAATACCAAACAAGTCTGCACCCACATACAGTACTCCAGTCTGAGATCATACTACTCCCACTGGTGAAATCCTAAGGTTTTGGAAAAGAAAAGCCATCTGGTTCGCTGGCAGTGGCAAAATGTAGCTCAGAAGCAACGTCCAGAAATTCTGTTTTTACCCAAAGGGCTATATAGGACCCTAGCTTTTTCTGTCTTGCTGCTGCTTACCGTATGTTCCTCCGCATGTGAGATGGTTTCTGAGCCCTCTTCTTTTTGGTGTCCTCAGAGGCCAGGCTCTTGTGCTGGTTCTGCAAGAGTCGCTCTGCCCGCTCACTCTGAGATGAGGTAGTTGAAGTAGAGCGCTGCCATTCTCCATCCTCTGCATGTTCAACACGGTCACCGCTGAACACAGCTTCCTGGGGTTGGTCTGAAAAGACAAGGAGGTAATGACATCAGAACAACTGTCCTAGGCTGGCAGCTGGCTTTTACACGAGCATTCATCAGGATTTGGGGTGAATGGGAATCAAGAATCCCTGTTCTCACTCGTTTGCAAGCATGTTTCTCTGAGGGTCAAAACTGGGTCCTTTCCAACAGCCACCATCAAAGACTGTTAAAAAGTTTTACAGTGAAGGGTCTGTTTCCAGTGAAAGCCAAGACTAACACCACCCAACCCAGCCCAAAAGTGTCCTGACAAGAAAACAAGGCAAAATTATTTCAGTCCGTGAGGACCACTTGCTGCCCCTAAGGGACTGTTTTCCTACAGGGTTCAATGAACTCTGATTAAAACATGGGACACAAATCTCATTTTCTTTCTTTCACAGCATTCAAGTGGGGCAGAAATTTCCATTTATGTGACACCTGTGTAACCATCTTCCAAGTTAACAGAACATACCATGCAAGAGGTTATCTGGTTCAAATACTAGGTCATGGCTTAGCAAGCAACTCGGTTGTTTTATCACCAGCTCCACTCATTATTTAAATGGCAATTTCTGGCAAGCTTTTTCAATAACAAAAAGCAAATGGCAATACTCTTTCCCCACTATAAATCACACATTTCCCTTTTTCTCGGCATTCTCCTATTTTCAGACTTCCATTAGTGGCTGATTTCATTCTTAAAGCACTATGTGAAATGACACCTTGTTCTATGTGACATTTTGCTCTTCAACAGGCTGCCAGTGACCAAACTAATGCTTGCACAGCACAGAAAGGAAATGTTTCTGTTCAAAAGCTTCCCTTGAAGTAAACTGTTTCTGACAAGCCTTGTAATAGCTTCTTTGAAGCATCTTGTCCCCTTGTGTCAGGCAAAGAGATACCCTGAATCTCATCTCATAATCAGCTTTCTTGCTTATACTGTGTATCTGAGCTAATGACTGAATTGAAATGACAATTAGACAGAACTTTGAAGGAAAGAAGACATCAGTGCAGAAGAATGTGGCAGATTAAGTAATACAGAGCTAACAAGCATCACATTGTGACTCCATGGGATCTGGAGACAAAGAACATCCCTTCTCAAAAAAGCTGGGAGCTTAAATGAAGGATGCATCAGTGCAGCATGTTGCATATACAGGCACCTCTGCAGCTGCCACATTTAATATGCCTATTAAATTAACCTTATCACCAGTATCACCTCTTAAAATTGAGATGACAAGAACTAGATTCACACCTTGGTCAAAAGCACTGACTGTGCAAGCTTCCTCTCCAGACATCCCACCAGGCCTGCCTCAGCATTTGCCCGAAGTCTATGTCAGAATCCATTTTGGACTTCAGGGCTCACCCCACCATGGACCAATACCAGTAGAGCAGCTCAAACATTTCTGTGAACATCAGTCCCAGCAAGTCCTACACATACTGGAAAAACAGGTATCCACAACTTATGGGATGAAACAGATCTCACAATGAATGCAAGAGTTATGTTGCATGTGAAGATAAAGGCAAAGGGGTTCGCTGCTACAGTCACAGTAGTTCTACCACAGCCAAGGTCTTGGAGCCATGTCCTCCCCACCATGACTCCTTAAGTTTACAAGCTCAGACATCACACATCACATACACTTGCAGACAGAGAACTGTGCTGGGAATAAACCCAGTTTCCCAGGCTTCCCAGACAACAGCTCTGCTATTTCAGCTACAGACACATTTCAGTCACATTACCTGCAATTCTTCAGCACTGTTTCCTTCCCCCCACCCCTCTGGACTCCTGGTTATATAACTAGATCAAAAGATTGGATGAAATAGGGCAAAGGGAAGCAGGGAGGCTGCACATGTGATCACATTCTCCCAGATGAGTCATTAAAGCAGTGACTACCCCGAGACAAACACTGCCATGGTTACATTGCTGCCATCTCACTCTGGGCCCAGGGGACCTTGACAAGACATCAGAGAGCAAAGTCAGGCTGTTTGGAAAAGGAAGCACTTCCCTCCCCTGGTTACCTCCTTCAGCAGTGACTGCCACCTTCACTGTGCCAGGAAAGAGTGCCTTCAGGACGAGGGTGATGTTAACAAAATCCAAAGGCTCAGAAGCCCAAAGGTAAGGCCATTACATGTCTCTTCTGTATGCTTTCATATTTGTTGTGCAATCCCTATGTAGAGTCATCCCACCTCTGCATTTTGCCTTTTCTTTCCTTCTAATCATATGTAATACAAGTTGTGATGAAACCTACACACAGCTGGAACAGACAGGTTTTTTTTAAAATATAATTCTCATCTGAGCAGGAGCCTGAAGCCCAAAATCTGATGATAAATTTGGTCCTGCACTGAGTACAGGCCTTCATCCGCCACAGCCACGTCTGCTCAGGCTGATGTTTGTCCTGCCAATGCGAGTTCTGAGGTGAGGAACACAATCTGTGCCTCAGCCCACATTCCTGACACATACACATCTAGATACCAATCTCTTCTACACTAGTGACAGTACCACTGATTCAGCTGCGGTGGGATTCAGAGGACAGCCAGCTTCCTGAGGCTGGTCCCATCCTTGACACTACAATGAATAAAGCTGCTTTTCACAAAGCGTAGCTAACACAATGATAAATATCACAAGTCTAACCATGCAACAGTTCCCACCACACCTGTGACATGAGCTGGCAGTTGCTAGCAGGAACTGTTTTGTTGCTGTTTTGTATTAACTCCTGGTTGTGTACACAGCCTAAATCTTACTGCATATAAAAAGCAAGACTCCCTGCTGCAGCCACGTGGTTGTACTCAAGCATGGTGAGCTCCAAGCTGTGTAAGTGGGAGCCACACTGGGCCAGTAACACATTAAGAAACAGTAACCACACACACAAAACCCTATTTTGTATAAGAACAGGTTTGATCTTTGGGTTGGAGGGAGTGTGGGAACAGCCTTGTTGAACAGGTCCCATCAGGTAATCAATGGAATAATTCCTGCCCCAATTTTGCCAAGCCTACATCTACAACAGAAATGCAATTATGGTTTTGTAACAGAAGCTCAACACACTACTCTGACATGGCTATACAAGTAGCTTTTTACACAACACAAAAATTCATCAGCCATGTTTGCATGTTGACAACTGCCTGATCATGCTTAAGTTCTTAGTGCACTCTAGGAAGACCTGGGCAATTATCCACATTGCCTCAGTGCAAAAGCGTTGCCACCAACCCATGGGTAACAACCCAGCACAGCCTTGCACAGGGAGATCAGCCACACGTGCCCAAGCACAGCTGGGCAAAAGAGCAGGCCCAAGTCTGCTCAGCAGAAGACAGCCATGGGACAGTCATGGTCACCAACAAGGATGTAAACCCATCCCATACTTACCCACTGTGGGCACAGAATCAGCTGGAACAACAACTGCTGGGTTCAGACCAGCTGTTACACGTTTTGCACTGTGCTCATCAGAAGAGGCACCAGATCTAGAAAGAGGCTTTCCTAAGGGTAGTGGTGATAGCATCAATGCAGTGAGCTTGTCAAGCAGCTGCTCCTTCAGGTGGGTTACAGCTTTCCATCTGAGGGGTCTCCAAGCAGTTCCCACCAGTCCTCAGTTATAGACACCTGCACACACTCAGGCACTCTGTCCTGCAAGGTACCCTGAAAGCCAAAGGGGCACAACTATCCTTTCTCATGCACTTTTTGAGTTTAAAATGTGCCTGTACCATCACAACCCAATAGACCTGATTACAGCACGTCTCTGGTTTGTGCTGCAGACCAGGGGTTGCCAGTTTTCTTTGCTCACCACCCCCAGCTGTACATACAAGCAGGGGGAGGTGTTTGGCTTCTCGACCGACACTTGCAAATTACAGTTTAGAAGTCTCTGTAAGGAAAAGAGTCGTGACTGCTCTGTATGACTCTGCTTCATATGCTCCCTATGTGGTGTGACTGCCAGAGCTGCCCCAAAACAGTGCACACAGGTGTGACTCATGATGCATAACACAGCAAAAGATTTATCCCACAGTTAGGCACTTCCTCTTGTACCCAAACTTATAAAACTCACCTCATCACCTCCTTCTTGTAGAATACTCTCAGACTTCCCTTAAAACAGCACAGGATGCAGCCTGAAGAATATTCTCTAGGACCTTTGATTCAGCAGTGAATTGCTCTCAACACCTGAGCCTGCTCTGCAGAGAGGCTCAGGTTGCTGTGAAGTGTCATGAAGCAGCAGGTACATTTTGTCGAGGTGTGAGATTATTGCAACCAACATGGTCTTCTCTTGACACTGAGGTGTGTGAGAAAGTGTGTTATAGCTGCATCCAATCTCCACTCCAAGGCGAACCTCAGTAAGTCCAAATGTCTGTGCACAAGTAAACATCCACAGTTCAGATCTAGCAACGGTCCAGCACTCCTAGGAGTACAAAAATTGCCATTCAGGACAAGACTCGAGGGTCCCCTACCTGAGGCTGCTGACAAGAAGGTCCCAGAGACACCTCAGTGGACAAAACACTGTGTAAGATGGTTACTTCCTTGCTCCTCAGTTACTAGCTAGCTAACATGGCTAGCTAGAGGTACACCCTCCTCCTGGGAAGCCAACTTCTCTGCCTGTGTAGCTCCAATAACTCCAGGGAAGGCATACCACTGAAAACCAGATGCTTGTTTATGTCTAAAATCATTTCACTATGGAAACCCAGGATACCAAACAGCATTATTTTGTTGAGTCTTTGGGAATTATTTCCTACCCTAAGGACCGGGACGTGCATGCATGGTGAGAAGGTAGCTGCATGCAGAGCAGCGAGGAGTTAATTCTTGCTTTGGGAGCTCTCTTTTGTCCTGCACAAAGAGCAAGGAGCAGTTAAATATTATTGCAGGCGTTCTGGGAACATCCATGGAGTTTGTGGGCAATAGCTTGTCAGAGACTAGCTAGTACTAGCTAGTACTACTACAGCCAGTACTGAGCTGTCAAAGCAAGAATGGGAGGAGCACTGAGAGATGGCACAAGACTAATTGCACAGTTCCAGCAGCAACACTCGCAGTCACTGACACAC